GGCCATCCCAGGTGTGCATGGCACTCTGTGCGACCACAACTTTGTGGTGTTGGCAGAGAGAAGCCGCTGTTTTCTCTTTGGCCCCTTTCCTCTTGACAGCAGATTTCTCTATAGAAAGCCCAGTGTTGCATTCACACAGAAAAGTCTGAAAATGGAAGGTATACAGGGCTGAGTGAGTGCCAGGCACCATGTGGGCACTCCCTGGCCTTTCCTACTTGATCCTCACACCTCCTCTAGGCACCACCACCTACATTTCACAGATCAAGAAACAGGAGGGGAATGGCTCCGCCTGTAAGTGATGCAGGTGATGGGCTTTTCCTTTCTGCCCCTCTCCTATACCTCCTATTCCCCGACTCCTCCAAGTTAGGCTGGTAATGGACCCCGGAGGCCAACATGGCCCTTCCATGAGGCCTGCTCATCCTGGAAAATGTTCATGGGGCGCCAGGACTTCCTCCCCCACTTTTCAGAGGGGCGGCAGAGTGATGATGGTATTGCATGAGGACCTCGTACCAGGCCTTCACATACTCCCCCAGCAAAGGCCTGGCTTCAGAGAAGAAAAAGCCAAGATGAGGGGAGAGGTGGGCCTTGCCCCAGGCAGCTCAGGGGAGGGGCCAAGACTCAGAGCCAGTGTCACAGTTGTCCTCTGGTGCTGGTTACAATTATTTTTGTCTTGTTTTCCCTGGAACATGCCTTCCTCCTGTTCCTCTCCCTTTCTCTAGCCTGGCTGCCTCTGGACACCCCCACACCCTGCAAGGCATAGAGTCATGCCAGACCCACAGGGGCGGAGTCCCGTTTTCCAAAGGATCCTCTGATAAGAACACAGTTAGGACCCCAGACGGATGTCCGTGGCCTCGGTGAAGACGGATGTACGTGTCCTCCTGGCCGAACAACTGGAAAGGGGGCCCTACAAAGCCACATGAAGTGAGATGGGTGTCTCTTGGCATGAGCTGAGATCACCCCTCTTAGGGACCCTAACGACCCAGAGACTATTCTGTAGGGATGAGCTGGACAGCCTTCTCCTGACATCACAAGCAAGGTCACCTGGGATGATGACAGCTCAGAAGTGGGGTCTTGGACAAATGCTTGGTCAATAAGCCATCTCGGTCCACTGTGAAGACAATCCCCACTCAAGGGTCAAGGAGCCCCAAAGCCACAGGGATAGGGGTCTGGCATGTGCCACCAGCAGCGCCTGGTGGGAGCTGAAGGAGTCACAGCTGGAGGCACTCAGCCAGCACCCTCACCCCAGCGTGGCCCAGTCTCTAACACGGGAGAGGGGAGCTTGGCTCAAACACGCTGGACACCAAGAGTTTAGTGCTCAGAGAAGGGTCCTGTCTCCCTGTCCTCGTCCTGTTTATAGGGCAGTGGGTGGGCAGGGAGCACGTAACCCAGGGGACTGGTGTGGTCATCAGAGTGGCTCCCCAAGGCCATTGCTCTGCTCTCCATTCCAACAGCACCTGCAGACTTCATATGAGATGGCACTGGCCTCAGCCCCTTGTTGCCAGATTGCCAGCATCATCCATATTATCCCAAAGCTGGGCCCTCGCTCCCTGCACCCCACAGGCCATGGGGAGGCCCTGCTCCATGCGTGTAGCCAGATGAGAGGCATGAGACACACGTGAAGCCCCCTCGTCAATGGCAAAGCCCTCAAGAAAGAGGAACAGGCTTTGCTCATCTTCCCCTCCCCAGGGGCAGACAAGGACTGGACACTCAGCACTAGTGGATAGAGCCTCAGCCTGGTGAGTAAAAGGTCAGGGGTATGATTTTAGTGAAGTGCACATGCCTGGGTTGAGAGCTCCCAGTAGGGGACGTGCAGTAGGCAGCTGATCAATGATTTTCTCATTAATGATGTTCATATCTCTCTTTCCCTCTCCCTTCCACTCTGAAATCAATAAGAATATATATTTACTACTGGCATAATACACGACATTTGTGCCTGGGGGCAGGTGTTCCTCAGCCCAGCCTGCACCCTCTCCAATCTGGGACCCCTCGAAGAATGTCCTATTGCCGGTTTACAGGAGTCAGGCCTAAACTGGCAGTCAGACATCCCTCTCTCAGTGCAGGACTGCTGGCTCCAGCCACTCACCTGCCTGCCTGATTGCCCTAATCACTCTGCTGCCAGCCTGCTCATCCCAACAGCCTTCCCTTCCTGCCCCTTGCTGACTGCCCCTTTCTTACAGGATTCCTGGCAGGGGAAGCTGAGTGGAAACAGCAGTTCCATCATTGTCTTTTCATAGTGTCCCTCCCTCCCAGCCAGAACCCTGCAGGCACAGGTCCTTTGCCCCAAATACCCTCACCCCCACCTTCTTCCCCATCCTTTCAACCCTTGATGTCCCCTCTTCAGGGAAGCCTTTCTTGACTCCTCACACTAAGTCAAGCCCCCTGATATAAGATTTCTCTCCTTAATGTCGGTCTGGCAGGAAGTGATGTAGGATCCAGCAGAATTGGTACCTACTGGTCAAAGCATTTCCAAAGAGCAAACAGATTCTTCATGGGCCTTGTGAGAACTGGTACCTCCCCCAACAGGCTGCTCACACATCCTTGTGTTGCTCAGAGGGCGTATCAGACACGTGGGACCTAGTGAGGAAGCCTCGGTGTGTTTCCAGCTTGTCCCACTAAGGTCAGGGAGGTCAAGGTCATGCTGACCTGGGTGGCCTGGAAAGGAACCTTCTCCTTTTTAGTGTTTACCTTAGTTGACTCACCTTGCTCCTATCACAGAGAGCCGGGGTTTCCTCTTTGGCATTGGTCTGGTCCTCACTGTGGGCCTCGGAAGGCAAAGCCCACGAGTGCCCTCCAGGAGGCAGTGTCCCTCAGTCCAGCTGCGAGGTATCATTCCCAAGTCAACCTTCAGTGAGCCTTGTCTCAGCTCTGCCCTAGGGGACACCAGGCTCCAACAGATTACTTGTGGTTGGGTGGAGGCCTCGGGCTTTTGTGCAGAGTAATGGGAAGCAGGTGCTTGATAAGATTTGTATTCCTAAAAGCTTTTCTTGCTCAGTGTGGAGATGGGGAGGAGGGGGTTAGGAGCAGTGCCACAAGGGTAAGCACAGGATGACCATGAGAAAGCTCTTACAGGAGGGAAAATGTGAGGGTAGCTTGGAGAAATGTTTGCTGTCTTCCTGTCTATTTATAGATGACCCTCTCTCACCCCTGCAAACAAACCTTTCTGATCTTTTCTTTTTTAATTGTATTGCTTTTTTTACGGAGAGGAAGGGAGAAGGACAGAGAGTTTAAAAACATCAATGAGAGAGAAACATCAATCAGCTGCCTCCTGCACAGCCTCTACTGGGGATGTGCTCATAACCAAGGTAAATGCCCTTGACTGGAATTGAACCTGGGACCCTTCAGTGTACAGGCTGAAGCTCAATCCACTGAGCCAAAGCAGTCAGGGCAAGCCCTTCTGATGTTCATCAAGCTCATGTCCTACAGTTGATCCTGGGCCTCAGCTGCTGGGTGACGAAAATATTTGTGTTCAGCCCAAGCCACTGTTGTACCTTGATTTCTGTGAGTCCATGATCCCCAAAGACCATCAGGGAGCCAAGTTCGATGCAATTAACAAGAGAGCCTCTTCCATGTTAACATGGGCTCTGTCCCATACACGCCGACCACATGGAGGACGAGAGCCCGAACTTTGCCAAGCCCAGGGGTTTATACCGGTGGTGATGTTTGGCTGACCATGATTGGTTGGGTGAGGGCTAGGGTCCAGTTACAAAATGGAGGAGGATAACTCCGCTCTGCCCCACAGTGGAGTCCGGAGCTTCCCCCGGGTGTCCCAGTGGAGCTCCCGGGGACTGAGGTCTCAGGGACTTGACTGGACGGGAGAGTGAGAGCCCAGTGAGCGAGCAGGAGCTATGGAAGATTTGCTCCCTGAGTTCCTGGAGGACAGGCTCATGGGGAAGGGAAGCCAGGCACCCGGAGCCCAGAGGAGCCCACCAATTCCCACCACAAAGGCTCAGTCCATCTTACTGAACCGAAGTCTGCAGAACACAGATGGGGAGAAACAGAGGGCTTAGAATATCACCGTGTCCATACCACCTCCCCCACTAATGGGGAGTCTGTGTCTTCATGACCTGCTATGAGTATCTGTTTTCACTTCTCTCTCTCTCTCTCTCTCTCTCTCTCTATATATATATATATATATATATATATATATATATATATAAATATATATATATATATATATATATATCTCCCCCCCCCAAATCAACCACTGTTCTAAGAACATTTGCAGTTTCATTATAATTTCACTGGTTTCTCAGAGCATCCTGGCCCCCACGGCAACCTGTCAAATGTTCCACCCACTCTGTTGTCATCACCACTAGCACCATCATCATCATCATCATCATCATCCAGAAGTCACTGCCTATAGTGCATAACATTGTAATAATTATAAATGATGCATGTCTGCCAGACTTAGCAGGTGATCACTTTATAATCAGTTTATTGTCACTTAAACTAATACAATATTCTATGTGAATTATAATTGAAGGATTAAAAAATAAAAACTTTTTTTTATGTCTAAAAGATGTGCTGCTGGAAGACAAAGGTGAGCTGGGACTGGAAAGCAGGGCGAGAGACCAGGAATGAGGAGGGACGTGGTTCCTGCAGGGAAGGTGAACTCTGGGGAGGGCCAGTCCAGGAGCCACTGTAACTCCCATATCCCAACACCTCAAACTCTTTCCCCTTCTTCCATTGTCAACTCTTCAGTAGTTCTGGCCTTCTTGGTGCTTATTCCTCCACTTCTCTTTCTTTATTCATGACCCACATGTCTTTTTTAGTCAAAGTACAGTTCCTCCCATCTCCCCCCACCACCACCCCCATCCCTGTCTTCCCTGATTTCAGGTCCAGGTTCCTTCCTTCTCTTTGACCCACCTGCCATCTGCATGAACACCTCTGTTGTGCTCAACACAGTTCCATCCATTTTATCTGTCCAGTTTTTCCCCTCTAACAATGTCAAGTCCACGCCTTTGTCTCCCACACATCCTGCTCCCTGCACTGTCAGGGGATCATGGAGTCAGGTCCTCCTGTAGACTTTCGTAAGTGCGGATGAGTTTTTCCAGCCTCCTCTTCAGCTCCTGGGCTTGCTGCCTCAAGTCTTCCGCCAACTGAGCCTTTGCACCCTCAGATAAATGCTTTGACTCATTCACCAGGTCCACTACATCCACCAGAAGGCCTGCACCTGGACCTAAGAATTTGGCTCCTTTGCCCAGGAACCGAGCAGTCCTTCCAAAACTATTTATCATATGGTGTCCGATTTGACCAATGACTGCCCCCCTGCCGTTAATGTACGGGACGGCAGCTAGTTTGATAGAATTGGATTCCTCCGCATTGAGGACATCAGCTTTCCTCAGAATGCGTTGAAGGGATTTGAAGCACCTCCGTGCTATGGAAGCAATTTGGGGAGGGCTGTGACGTAGAATCTCCTCAACCTCCTTCTCTGTTTCGGTGCCAGTTGACATGAGGCGGCTGGCTTTTGCTTTTGCTGACCCATCATTTGAGCCTTCAATAATTTTCGTAGCCACACCGGTCACAGCAGCTGCTGCCCCCAGTCCCACCACAGACATTGGAAGCGACAGACTAGCCCCTGCTGTGAAAGGTGCCAGACACAGGCCAGCGATGGACAGAACGCCAGCCAGAGCGCCAGTGGAAGAGGCCACCACCTGGGTGATGGTGCAGCCCCTGTGCAGCTTGTCAACCTCATCAGCAAGTGCGTAGAGCTTTCTTATGCGTTCCTCAAGGTCCTGTTTGGCCTGAGGAAATTCCTTCATAAACCTTTCCCTATTAACTTTGTCTTCCATGGCCATGAATGTTTCCAGCTGGCTCAAGTCTGCATAGAGTGCATCTGCCTCATCTCTATAATAATAAAGGACAGGGAATTAACTGCAGCAGCTATATAAATTGCTAAAGCTGGGATTCCTGATTGGATGACCTGGTGCAGGAAGCCCTGTTCTCTATGGTGGGAACATGTGCATCTACTCGGAATCCCTCAGATCACACCACTTTGGCAGTCCACATTATGACTGGAAGTGCTCACTAAGCCACACTGCCTTCCCTCTGGTCAGCGTTACTCCATGGAGAAGAGAAGAGCGTCCCACAGGAAGGTGAAGAGCCCTCCAGCTCACAGACAGGGTTGGAGCACATGATCACAAGGGCCCTCTGCCCCCAGCAGAGAGGGGATCAAATCAGGGAAGGAAGAAATGTGCCCCCCGCCCCTGCACAGCCTTCCACTAGGCCCCTGGCCTCCTCAGTCCTGTATCCAGGTGCCTCAGCTGCCTCACTCCTGCCAAGTCTTCCTACCAGTCCTCCCACCTGGACCATCCTTGCTCTATCCAGACCCTGGACTCTGATCCTGCTCCAGGCCTCTCTGGCCTCCATACAGGATGACTGTGCTTGCTTCCTCAGTTCATCACCCCGGTACTATCAGACAAACTTGCTATTCCATTGATGAGGGAGATGACATAAGCCCAGAGCTTCAGAGCCGGGCAGTGATACAGACAAGATTCAACCAAAATGGTGCAACCTCACTGCAGCTCTCCCCCTTCCAGGCCAGCAGGACCCTACAGAGCTTGTGCAATCCCTTTCTTAGGGAGAGCAGGCTCTCTAGCCACAATCCCCAGGGACACAAACTGTGCCAGCATTTTCTGGCTTGTACCACAAGACGTCCTGAGAGGCCCTCATGTCCAACGCGAAGATGTGTGTGCGCTGTCTATTCCCAGAATCTTTTCTGATGCTCATGAGAACTGCCCACCTACCATGTGGCAGTCATTAGACTAAAGAGTTTACCCGCATGTTCTCATTCTCCTCACAATGAAATAGAACAGATGAATGACAGAGAGTGGTTGAGTAACATGGCCAAGGCCTCATAACCTCCCCTCTGCAGGCCTCATCCCTTCTCAACCTGAGCCCTTCTCTGCCAATGAATGATAGGAAGGAAATGTTGCTCTTGGTCTATTGAGAAGGAACTTGTTTAATCCAACAACAGGATCCTGCCTGGAGGAGGGTGCCTGCCAGAGGACTCTGGATGCAAGGGAGTTGGGGGTGACAATACAGGCATCCCCTGGAGGTTACCTGGACAAACTGGCTGCAGCCACAAATCTCTTCCAGGATTCATCACTCAGCAGGCGTTGCAGGTTCTCTTTGTTCCATGGGTCCTTTAAAAACTCAATGGCATCAATAAAGTCTTTGTGCTCTAGATGGAAAGTGAAAACAATGAGGTTAGAAGGTAATGGATAGAATGGAAATGGAATTGAGTATCTAATCTAATAAAATGGTAATATGCAAATTGCCATCACTCCATCACAAATATTGCAGCACCCATAGCATCCCAGGCACATGCCACAGAGGAAGGGAAGGGGTCTGGGCAGGCAGCACGCCTCCACCCCAGTGGACACAATGCAGGGTTAGGGCATGTTCCTGGCAGCTGACTCGGGGCTCAGTGTATACCTCCACCCCAGCAGACACAACCCAGTGGCTCTCTGCATGTGAGCTGCAGAGGAAACTCCTTTTCTGACCGCTCATTAGCTAAGCTCTCTGTATGCTGCCACTTGCACTATTCTTGGTAAATTGAACAATAAGAATCCAAACAAGTGATCTAGGTTTTTCACCATACTCCAAGAAGACAAAAACTAAGGTCCACTGCTGGTGGGGCTAAAAAATGTCATATTCTGCCCTAGCCTGTTTGGCTCACTGGACAGGGCTTTGGCCTGCTGACCACAGGATCTAGGTTTGATTCTGATCAAGGGCATGTACCTAGTTTGCAGGCGCCTCCCTGGCCAGGGCCCAGGTCAGGTCTCATGCAGGAGGCAAAGAATTGAAGTGTCCCTCTCACATTGATGTTTTTCTCTGTGTCTTTCCCTCTCTTTTCCAAGCTCTCTAAAAATTAATGGAAACATATCCTCAGGTAGGATAAGGAAGGAAGGAAGGAAGGAAGGAAGGAAGGAAGGAAGGAAGGAAGAAAGAAAGAAAGAAAGAGAGAGAAAGAAAGAAAAAATGGTTGAAACAGGTTTGGCTCAGTGGATAGTGTCTGTCTGTGGACTGAAAGGTCCCAGGTTTGACTCCGGTCAAGGGCATGTATCTTGGTTGTGGTCATATCCCCAGTGGGGGGGGTGCAAGAGGCAGCTGATGGATGATTCTCTCTCACTGATGTTTCTAACTCTCTATCCCTCTCTCTTTCTCTCTGTAAAAAAGTCAATAAAATACATTAAAAAGAAAGAAAGAAAGAAAGATAGAAAGAAAGAAAGAAAGAAAGAAAGAAAGTCAGATCCTATGAAAGAGACATCTGGAAAATGCCTAAAGAAATTTTCATTTTTTTGTGGTGAAGGAACTGGAGTCCACATTGAAGAAAACACCATGGCAGATGTGGTGGCTGGCAGTGGCTGCAGCAGTGGAGGGAAGGTGCTGGAACCTTCCCCTGATCAGCCTTGTCGCCTCCTGCAGAGTGAGGCCAGACTGTGGCTTAGGCCCTCTCTTCATAGGAAGCGGGCCTAAGCTGTCAGTAGGACATCCCCCAAGGGCTCCCAGTCTGTGAGAGGAGGCAGGCTGGGGTGAGGGACCCACCCCTCAAGTGCACAAATTTTGTGCACTGAGCCTCTAGTAAACAAGGTGGTTAACTGTTCATCTTCCTGAGCAGCTGTCACCTGAGGAACTTTTTAAAATTTATTAATTTGGGGAATGTTTGTTGAGTTACCTGGTATTATGGAATGAAGTATCCACTCCCCAATTTATATATTGCTGGCCTGACACCCCATGTGACTGTACGCAGTCATTTATTTTTTAAATATATTTTCATTGGTTTTTAGAGAGAGAAGAAGGGAGAAGTGTAGAGATAGAAACATTGAAAAAAAAAAAAGAAACATCAATCAGTTGCTCCTGCCTGCGTACTCCTGGAGGTTGGGCTGCAATCCAGAAATGTGCACCAACTGGGAATCCAACCAATGACCTCTTGGTTCATGAGTCAACAGTCAACCACAGAGTCACAATGGCCAGGCCCCATGTGACTGTATATTATAATTAAGGTTAAATGAGGCCATAAGTGTGATACTAATGCAATATGAATGGTATCCTTATGTGAAGAGGGTGAGACACCAATTCTCTCTATCCCCCACTTATATTTCTCTCTCTCTATCTCTCTCTCTTTCTCTCTCTCTCTCTCTCTAAATCAATAACTTTTATAAATCTTTTAAAAAATGTGTAACTCTCAAGGACTTAGAGACTCTGGAAATGCAGATAAGAAACTGGGGACTGGTGTATGTTTTGTGTGTGCAGAGACAGGATGTAAATGTGTTTCCTATCATATACACACAAGACATATTATTCTTATTTCACAGACAAAGAAAGTGAAACTCAGACAGCAAAAGAAGGCCCACGCCAAGAAGCAGATACCTCAAAGGTGGAATCCAAGGTCACTCATCAGACATTTCCTGACATTTGGTTGAAGCCTCCTTAGGTTTCAAAAATTCAAATGATTCGTGCATTCTACCCTACAATGCCCCTTTGGGATTTTTTCAAAATTCAAAAATAGTATTTCAGATCACACGCCATTGATGGAGTAAACCTACCATGCAAAAAGGATGCTTCCTGCTACTCACTTGTTCCTGTTGCAGCATAAGGGGGAATCAGACAGTTCAGAAGTCTGCAGCTCCTGAGCAGGCCCCAGGTTCCCAAGGGAAGACTGGAGCAGGGTGGGGAGTAGAGGAGGTGTCTTCAGGTAGATGGGGCTTGGGCCCTCAGCTCTAATGCTCTGATCAATCAGTACCACCTTTCCTCCTTCAGGCTGGGCTCAGGGGCCACAGCTCCCTGGGCAACTCTGACTCTACCCTCACCCACTTCTTAAACAGGAGGTCATGTTTTTATCCTCAAGAAACCACCAGCTCCAGTCTTCCCTTGGGAACCTGGGGCCTGCTCAGGAGCTGCAGACTTCTGAACTGTCTGATTCCCCCTTATGCTGCAACAGGAACAAGTTTTATCCCCTCCTGGGGGTGATGTGGTTGCCTAGAAAAAGCAGTGTTGATTTGGGAGATTGGAGGGGAGTTTATTCCTTTTCCTGCTTCACCCACTGAGGGAGAAAGTAAACCTGGGCTTAGATGGAGGGAACCCAGAGCACTTCATCTGTGTATTTGTTGGCTAGGTTGTGGATGGGTTTGGGAAATAACAAAGCGGGTCTCCACAGGGTTATCTGAGATCATCAGAAGTTCCTGTCTGACAGTCACACCTAGCACACAGGTGTTTATAATTGGGAGTACAGGTCAGGGACCCAGCACTGCTGTTGGAGTGGCAGTGCTTTGGAAGGGAAAGTTTCCACCAGGAACTATCAGGTTCCAGTTACAGGGGACAAGAGATTCCCACCTCCCATGGGCTGTCCTGGCCTCGCTGGAGTCATTGCATGAGTTGCAGAAGATGGGAAGCAGGGAGCAGCTTGAGGAGAAAGCTAGAAGGAGATCCCCACATACACTTCTGGTTGAGGGGACTTCCCTTGGACCTCTTGGGGATTTGAGGATACTCATCAATCCCCTTTGAAGTTCTTGATTCCTGTGTAGCTTAACCCAGTTTGGAGATGCCTCCCTCAATTCTAGATCATGAGCAGGAACCAGCTAGAGAGGAGGAAGCTGACTACCTGGGTAGTTTCCGTAAACTTTTGAGGCCATGGTGTCAGCAGTGGGATCTCAGAGTTTCCCCTTCGGCTCACCAGTCTGTGTTCAGCTGGAAGGAGGTGTTGCATCACCCTTGGGGAAGAGAAAACAAATTGTGGGGTGCAAGGTGAGCCAGCTGTGCAACAGGGAGCAGCGAGGGGCTCCGTTTCTGGTGTTTCTTTCAGGGAGGGCCTCAGATGCCAAGATGGACTCAATCCACTGTGTTTCCCTGTCTGCCAGGCTCTGCCAGCTGCTACTTAGGAGCAGGTACTCACCTCACTCCAGCCACTGCAAGCCAAGGGACAGCTCCTTTGTCCTGTGGGAGCACAGGAGAAGAGCATCAGACAAGGAAACAGACAGGTGAGGAGAATAAAACCAGACACGAAAGATGGGAAGGAGAGATGGGGAGGAATTCTTTGGAAATGACTTGAGGTTGGGGACATCTGGCTTACTAATCACTACGGCTGATATTGATGGTGTGTCCACCACAGGCTCCTTACCTGTTCCCTCAGCAAGTACTCGCGCACATTCCACGTGGTGGCCACCATTGTGGCTCCCATTGGAACGTGGAGGAATCCACCACAAAGTGTAGGTTTTCACCTAAACTCGGGTTAGCCCAAGTGCCACAGTAGTGCGAGAGCTAGGACTCCAACCCAAGTCTTCCTGATCCTAGTTCCGTGTTTGCGAGGACTACACTCTACTCCCTTTTACATACAAAAACACTTATTGATGTGTCTGTGCTGCTTGCAAATGAGGCTTCTGATTCCCAAACACTGTCTTGCGCCCTGTACCTAGTCTCTGTGTTGATAAATTCCTGAGGCTGTGGCTTCCCAAGCCTGCATCCTTCTTGCTTCTGCAAGACCCTTATGGCCTAAAACCCTGGGGTCCTGCAGTCCCGGCCCAGCCCTGCAGCCCTACTGTGGGCTGCCTAGCCCTCCTGGTGCTGCCGGGTCCTCTCCGCTGCCCACGCCCACCGCTGGACCTTGGCTTGTTTCCAGTTCTTTATGAAAATAGTGCAGAGACAATCCTTGGGCATAGAAGCTCATCTGCATTTGAGCTTGCTTCCCTTAAATATTTAATAAGTGGAATGACTGTGACAGAGGGTATCACCATAAAAAAAAATTCTTTTATGCCTAGCGCCACACTCGAATGCAAACCAATTGCATCAATTTACATTTATGCTCATAGGTCGGCAAACCGCTGCTCTCGAGCCACATGCTGTTCCTTGACTCCATGAAAAAGTGTGGCTCTTCCACAAAATACCACATGTGGGCGCACACGTACAGTGCAATTGAAACTTCGTGGCCCATGCTCAGAAGTCTTTAGGATTCGCTGGGTGAGTCTATTTTGAAGAAGTGGTGTTAGCAGAAGTGGGGGTTTCGGTCGGTCAGTCAGGTGAGTGCATGTAGTTGGCAAGCTGCAGTTTGCCAACTACTGTCATAGAATATGAGATGCCCATCTTTTCCATCTTTTAGTTCATAGTACTTTTTAAACACACACACACACACACACACACACACACACAAACATACACACACACACACATCTTTGTTTTTAAAAT